TAGGTATGTGTAATTTAAGTAATATGCCCGTAAATGTCTAGAATGTACGCAATTATTTCTTCTTATATAGTACGCATATTAGAATAACTTAATGAGCTATTGTTTCATGCTTTATATTATATTAATGGAGTATTGATAACGTTGATAACCTTGGTAGCACGAGCAATTTGATAAGCTTGCTAAATTTGGTTATGCCCCGTTGAAGGGACCAAGCCAAATAGCATAATTAGACGCTCGACAACATTTAGCAAATGCATATTAGAAAAACACCAAATTTGCGTAACAATTTTAACTTATCTGCCAATTTAGAAGTCGACTCACGTCGGGTCGCGCATGCCAAAAATATATACACACGTAAATAAATAAATGTGTACATTTGTAAATGCTCCATGAATGCGAAGCTGACGAAAAGTGGTCATGATTGTATAGTGTTTAATTTAATATTGAGATCTGCAGAGAGACAACAGGCAACAGAATTCTCTGGAATTCTCCGCAATTCTCTGGAATCTCGGTCTGCGGGTAAAACACACGAGCACAAAACCCAACACACACAAAGCGAAACACTGAAAGTCTGCGCTTGCAATAAAAGTCTTAAGTCTCGAATTCGACAGTTAGTTGGATTTCTACGCTTCATAAGTGCACACAATCGACAATTAATCGCAAGTAGACTTTTGATACAATAAACTAAAATTCTCATTTAAATACAATGTCCGATTGTAAGCGCAGTTATCGTTATCGCGCCTTCGATTATTTTGTACGCGCCATTGGCTTCGCCAGTCTGTTCATCGTTATGAGTGCCATCTATAGGCAGGACGATTTATAGGCAGGACGATCCTGGCTCCAACTATATCATCCCAGACACGGCATGCAGTAAAGCCAATAACCTAACTAGACTTAAGTGATTTCTTTAAGTATTATCTACCTAATTAACAATACACTTTACTTTAGTAAACTGTTCAATATTTAATAAAAAACAAAGCTAAATATGTTAATAATGTGAGTTTTTTTTAACGAAAATTGTGGTTAAGCTAACTGGAAATAGTATAAATAAAACCAGTTGTTTTCCATGGGTTGTTTATATAGTTTGATTCATGCATATAATTACAATTATTTGTTTACGAACAATTCGCATTTCCCCAACGAATGGAGATGCGTGGAAGTGCAGTTCTCCTGTTCTGCACCGACATTTTCATTATTGGCATAAAGAAAAAGTTGAATTAAACTGAGATTATGTTGAAAAGCCGCGTTTAAGGTCGAGTGCAATATTTCATTAGAATTGCATAATTTTGTATTGCTGTGTGCATTACCAACTAAAGTTTTCTGTGTGAGAACAAGTACGAGTGAAAAAATGAGTGCGCTGTACAATATAGACAAGTTGGACGAAACAAATTATGATTCGTGGTGTGTCCAAATGAAAAGTATGCTAATTCACCAGGAGCTATGGTCCGTCACTTCGGGAGCTATGAAATGCCTAAGTTCAGACAAGACGAGTGAATATAGTCAGTGGATATCAAAAACCGAATAGGCTTTAGCGGTGTTTACTCTCTCAATAAGAGGTTCTGAGATTGGTCACATTAAGAAATTTGATTTGGCGACGAGTGCGTGGCAGAGCATCAGCCCACCGGTCCAGTGAGAAAGGTCACATTGTTCAAAAGATTACTCTTCATGCGGATGAACGAGAATGAGAACCTGCAAATGTATACTGCAAATTTTGTGAACACCGTGGAGCAGTTAACAGAGATTGGCATTGTTCTGCACGAGGAAATATTTGTTATTTTACTCTTGGCAAGTTTGCCCAAATCATATGAAAATTTGGTTGTAGCATTGGAATCACGCGATGAATTACCAAAGTTTAGTACTTTGAAGGTTAAATTGATCGAAGAGTGTGATAGACGCAAGAACGAAGCACATATAGAGACTGTGAACGAAAATAATGCACAGGCATTTTTAAGCAAAGCACACTACACTAAAGAGAGTGTAAAAAAGAAAAACAAAGTAGGCAAGAACCGAAACAAAAAAATCAAGTGTTACAATTGCGGTAAAATTGGCCACATTTCTGCAGAATGTAGGTCCAAGGTGAACGAAGGTCATGCAAAAGGAAGAGACGAAAAATCATTCTTCACGTTGCTAAGTGCAAAAAACGCTGAACGACTGCTTGATAAGTCACCGTGGTGCTTAGATAGTGGCGCCACAGCTCATATGTGCGCAAATCAAAATATGTTTAATGTGTTTGAACAATTCACTGATACGGTCACACTTGCTGGTGAAAAATCACTAGAAGTAGTCGGACGAGGAGTCGTCATAATTGAAATGGAATCGTCAACAGTAAAACTTATAAACGTTCTTTATATACCACAATTACAATGCAACTTTATTTTGGTAGGCAGAGCAGTAAAAGGAGGCTGCACTGTAATCTTTAAAAACAATCGTGCGTGTGTATGTGACGAAAACGGTAAAACTCTGATTATTGCAAATCATAGAAGCAATTTATTTCTGTGTGAAATAACCAAAACAATAAATGCAGTGTTCCTAAGTGGAAATGGCAAAAGTGGCATAAGAGATATGGACATCTGAACATGCAAAGCCTCAAAGAGTCAAATAATATGCAATTGGTGCGTGGAGTGAACTTCAACAGCACAAGCGAATTTGACTGTAAGTACATATGTCTACAGAGTAAGTGTTGCGCGAAGCCATTTAATATTTCGGTCAGCAAAAGTGAGGATGTATTAAACCTTATACATAGTGATGTTTGCGGCCGTATAAACATATGTTCAAACGGAGGATCACGTTACTTTTTTGTACCATGATTGATGATAATTCGCGATATTTTCACGTATATTTTATCAAAAATAAATCAGAAGTTCTAAATGTGTTTAAGAACTATAAGAACATGGTGGTATACCAAACGGGAAAACAGATCAAAATACTTCGCAGTGACAATGGCAGAGAATATGTAAACAACGAGTTTGACAGTTTCTGAAACAAAATGGGATCGTCCGTCAATTGAGTGTGCCTCACACATCCCAGCAAAATGGAGTTGCAGAAAGGATGAATCGTGGAGATGGCGCGTTGTATGCTGCTAGAGGCCAAACTTAAAGAAAGTTTCTGGGCAGAAGTTGTACATACGGGAGCTTATCTACGGAATAGATCGCCTACAAAAGCTGTGCTCCAGAGTACGCCATATGAGTTATGGACAGGGCGGAAGCCATCAGTTGGCCACCTTCATACATTTGAGTGCTTGGCGATAGCGTTGGACAAGACACAGAATCAGAAATTTAGACCGAAGTGTATAGAATACACACTGGTTGGATATGCAGATCAAGCTAAAGCATATCGCCTCTACATATCACCTTTTGTTGAGTCAACAACAGAATCAAGTGCAGTTGATATACCCACGTTACCCGATTTTAATTGCAGCAAGGTAATCACAGAAGTGCAGTCCAATAGAAGCAGCAGCAGAGCCAGCAGCAGAGCCAGCAGCAGAGCCAGCAGCAGAGCCAGCAGCAGAGCCAGCAGCAGAGCCAGCAGCAGAGCCAGCAGCAGAGCCAGCAGCAGAGCCAGCAGCAGAGCCAGCAGCAGAGCCAGCAGCAGAGCCAGCAGCAGAGCCAGCAGAAGAGCCCGCAGCAGAGCCAGCAGCAGAGGCAGCAGCAGAGGCAGCTGCAAAGGCACTGGCGAAGATAACGGTAACACCGATACCAATAAAAGAGATATCAGCAAGAAAAGTAACCGACTTGAAAGAAGCAGTGGGCACGGATGGCGAAGACTAGACGACGAGAGGCACAAGCTGAATCTTCTGAGCAGTGATGGCGTCATAACCATAACGTCATACCATCCAATCATAATAGAACGATACAAGGCTAGGCTAGTAGCAAAGGGCTGCAGCCAGAAACACGGAGTGAACTATGACGAAACGTTTTCGCCAGTAGTGCGATGTGCGACAATACGAGGAGGATGGTGTTGGCCATAACAGCTGAACTGGAGCTACATGTGCAGCAACTTGATATATCCACGGCATATCTAAATGGAGAATTGCAGGAGGATGTTTTCATGAAGCAACCCCGTATGTTTGAAGAACAAGAAGTGTCTGTTCTTAAACTTCGAAAGTCCTTATATAGGCTAAAACAGTCTGGACGGATGTGGAATAAAAAGTTGAACGAGATGATGACAAAAATTGGGGTTTCAGCCTGTCCAAGCGAGCTGTATGTATATACTAGGCACACACAAAATAACATAAACATAATCGCAGTATATGTGGATGATATGATGATATGTTCATCAGATATTGGTGAGTTGGCCAGTATAAAAGAAAGCATATCTCGAATTTCCAGATGGTTGACAAGGACCCTATACATAATTTCCTTGGTATGGAAATCAATAGGAAGGGCATAATAGGGGCGATAACGATCACCCAGCAGCAGCGCAGCATGTGTTGCAGCTGCTTAAAAAGTTTTACATGGGAGCGTGTCGGCCAGCATCAGTACCGTTGGCGTCCGGGTACACCACCAAATGTGAGAGCCAACAGTGCAAAACGGTCAACCAGGCAGAGTACCAGTCACTGAGCGGATCATTAATGTATCTGGCAGTTACATCCAGACCAGACATTTTACATTCAGTATGTAAGCTATCTCACCGGAATACGGATCCCCACCAATAGCACTGGGCAGCGATCCAATTTAAGAATACATTGAATAAAAGCTCTTCTGAGTCTAACCGCCACACCTAGTGCATCACTTTGGCGCTTTAAAACCCAACAATATTTATCATTTTCTACTTATATTCTTCTTAATTTAAAGTATAAATACAAAGTAACGGAAGAAAGTGCAGACCCATAGTAGTAATGGAACACGCGTCCAAATTTGAGGACTTCAATCATCGCTAAGAGATGGCAACACTACGATACTTCGATAATTCAGGTGCTTATCGAAAAAAGAACGTCTTTGCATAAACACCAAACAAAATATTCCATTTTTGTGATTTCCCTCAACAAGTGGCCAAACTAACCATCTTGCCACAAAATGAGTCGCAATGTTTTGGCGCCACATACTCAGCGCATGAGCCACAATCGCAATCATCGCGTTCACGTCGTTCACGACTATTTCGGTGGAAGCAAGTGGAATTGTGTCAATCAGACAACTGCAAAAGGATACGAGGAACCAGGTAATAACCAATAAATTGGATATTTGAAAAATAATAAGGAATTCTTCCTTGCAGATCTTTATGCTGACGAAGATTTCGAGGAGGACGGCACCGACTGCAATGTTGAGGAGCTGTCCAATGGCAGCTACAAGCTGGCGCTGCATGTGCCCAAGTGGGTTTGCCTAACGTGATTTATCTAAACAGCATATATATTTACTCATATATCTGCAGATCCTTCTATGGTAGTCTGATTGGGTTCAAGGGCGCCACAAAGCGTCGCATTGAATTGGAGACGCAAACAGAGATTTATGTGCCACGTCAGAACGAGATTTCCACTGACTTGGTTATTCAGTCCAAGGAGCGCAGCAACGTTTGTGCTGCCTTGCGCAAAATTCGATTGCTCATCGAATCGCTGCGCAAACGAATGCGGCCAACACATTTCCTGGACGTTGCGCTAAACTCGGGCGGTGTGCAACAGCGATTCCTAAAGCTAAAGGTAAGTGTCCATCCAGTTTGTTGAGAAGACTTTAACTCAGTATATATTTTCCCACAGCAAAACAATTTGGATGCACAACTGCCGGGCATCGACCAGGAGCTTTTTATTCCGGCCTGTATGCAGCGGACAATAACGATCCCGATAGCATCAAACTTCACATGACGCTGCTAAACAGTCGATATACCAATAAGAAACCCAATAAGAATGAAAGCAACAGCTTCGATGCACGTGAGATTCTTAAACGCTTTGGCGACTATGACTTTGGCAAGGCTCAGTGCAACGAGGTGCACATGTGTGTGTGCAAATCGTACTGTGAAGGTGATGACTTCTATAAGACAACGGGTAGTCTGAAATTTTAATCAACTGTCCAACTAAAACTTGTAATATGGATGGTAAACATCCAGCTTATAGTCCAATAAGTATAAGTATCACATTGATTTCATTAGAAATTTATGTTTTTCTTATGAATTTCTTATTTTTGATTACCATTGTGATATGTGAAAGGGCAGTGGCATTGAGGTGCGAATCTTGATTAAGAAGAAATTGGATTGAGCAAATATTGTTATTTTAAGCATAAGGACTGATAAGCAAATATAAAATATGTATGCACATATATATACATCTATATAAAATAATGCTATAAATACCCAGTCGACTGAGCTTTCATCTCAGTTTGGCTTCGTACTCTTGTGATGAATATAATCAGCGCTTTGAGCATTTCACTTTATGTGGCAACAGCTGGTCGGCTTTCGTTAGCTGATGATGGCGGTAATATATATTTATAAATCGTGCAGTTCGCTCCAGATGCTCTTAAATAATACACATTATACAGGTAATTTTTGTACGAGAGGAGATGGACTGCCTGGAAAATGTATAGATATTATTGAGTGTCAAAAAATATACGACTTATACCATCTGATTAGAAGGAAACAGGGAACACCTGCTGACCGACAATACATGAGGAATTCACGTTGCCCCGTTTATAAAAAGGTTGGTACATTACTCAGAGATTTGATTTGCTCAACCTAAATCACTTAACTCAATCATTTTATTATCCACCAGAATCATGTATGTTGTGAAGAAGTATCCGAGAGAGTTAAAATATTGTTGGAACAGGATTGTGGTCATATAGGTCCCTCTCAGAAGGTACTCTTTGGAAATGAAATAAGATTAATGTCAAGACCATGGATGGCTCTTCTTAAGCTCAAAAGGAACTCCGATGTAGAATATGCATGTGCTGGCACCCTTATAACAAATCGTAAGTAAACACAGGAATCTGAATTGATATACTGATCTATAATTGATTATAATTATTAGGTTTTGTTTTAACCGCCGCGCATTGTTTTGATGGACAAGAGCTGTAAGTAAGAAGCATAAGCTGTGCGCCCGCCTTTCATATTGTAAGCTTCCAAATCTTATTATCATAGATTAGAAGTGCGTTTGGGGGAACACAGAATATCCACCGAACAAGACTGTGATGACATAGGAAACACTCGCATATGTGCACCACCAGTTAGAGATATTTCTTTCGACAACATTTTTGTGCATCAAAATTTCTCACGAAACTCTTCTGAAAATGATATTGCATTAATCAAGTTATCGACAGACGTTGAGAGCAGTTGTAAGTTAAATTGTTAGTATTTTTTACAGTTGCACTCTTAATCGGTTGTCCTTTCCATAGTTAGCATCCGGCCCATCTGTTTGCCAGTAAATTACACACTTCAACAAGAAGCTGAACATAGGAAGATATTCAGGGTAACTGGCTGGGGAGCAACCGAAAGGTCAATCCACTCCGATGTACCCATGGAGACGGCAGTCGATAGGCAGAATCGTTCACTCTGCCAACATGTATACAGACAAAGCATGAAATCGAGTCAAATCTGTGCTGGTAGCTTTCAAAGGGATTCATGCTATGGTGATTCTGGTGGTCCACTATTTTATCCAACTGTATATAATGGAGTGCAACGTATGGTTCAGTTTGGAATAGTCAGCTATGGTTCCTCTTTTTGCGGGGGTGGAAAACCGGGTGTCTACACAAATGTTGCCAGTTTTATACGCTGGATCGCTGACAAATTAATTGCTAATTAGCGATAAATTTCTGTTGTATTTTCATTTTTAATAAATATGAATGAATTTATCGAGAGCATAAGAGATAACACATATATTTTTTAGTAAATCGAAATGGTTTCCTGTAACTGAGCCAAGCGCTGCGCATTCGTCAACTTCCATGTGACACAGGCTAGAGATGTGATGAAGAAGCCAATGCCTCAAATGAGAATTGCCAGACGTAAGTCTGTGTCTGTGTCAAGAGGAGCAACGCTGTGAGGCTGCACTTACCCATTAGCAGTACGGCCTCAGATGTTTCTTCCTTCCAGGATTTGGATACCGCGCACAGCAAGATAAATCCGCTGAGCAGGCAAAAGGAGCCAACGACAACAGCTAATGTTATTAGGATGATGGCAGGATCGGTCTCTCTGAGCGTCTTATTTGGAAGGAGCGTTTGGCAGTCACTGCTGTGGACACTGCGAGGTCAATCGATGCATAAAATAATCGAATCGTTCGAGCCGAATCAGTTGCGCACCAGGTTTCCGATAGGTTGGCAGAATGGGAACACTTCTGCATTTCATGACGCTGCTCTCTGCACTGCTAGCATGCGAGCAGCATCCGAAAGTAGTCTCCGGCTTACTTCGGATAGCTTGCAACACTTTTCTAAATATATATCTGCACTTATGGCAGACAGCTGTAAGTGTGATCACGACAGTAACTCAGGATCCGTAATAAGGGTTCCTGAACACATATTTGAAATTTTATCCGGAAGCTTTGTCCTAATCAGTGCCATCCAGGGACTCGATCCAGTGTAAACTTCATCTCCTATAATATGGCTTTCCTTAAAGATGCCACAATTATTTTGCTCCAATCGGCGCAACCCATCCGGATAAAGCTCTATTTAACAAGGGTGTGAATGGCATGACACCAATCCGGCTATATATATATATTGATATATGTATATATATACATCCAATATACATAAATATGATCGACATCTATTTACTAACTTACGGCTTATATTATATAGGTATGTGTAATTTAAGTAATATGCCTGTAAATGTCTAGAATATACGCACTTATTTCTTCTTATATTGTACGCATATTAGAATTACTTAATGAGCTATTGTTTCATGATTTATATTATATTAATGGAGTATTGATAACGCTGATAACCTTGGTAGCACGAGCAATTTGTATAAGCTTGCTAAATTTGGTTATGCCCCGTTGAAGGGACCAAGCCAAATAGCATAATTAGACGCTCGACAACATTTAGCAAATGCATATTAGAAAAACACCAAATGTGCGTAACAATTTTAACTTATCTGCCAATTTAGAAGTCGACTCACGTCGGGTCGCGCATGCCAAAAATATATACACACGTAAATAAATAAATGTGTACATTTATAAATGCTCCATGAAGGCGAAGCTGACGAAAAGTGGTCATGATTGTATAGTGTTTAATTTAATATTGAGACCTGCAGAGATCAATTCAGAACGCTGGGTATTCTCCACAATTCTCTGTAATCTCAGTCTGTGGGTAAAACACACGAGCACAAAACCCAACACACACAAAGCGAAACACTGAAAGTCTGCGCTTGCAATAAAAGTCTTAAGTCTCGAATTCGACAGTTAGTTGGATTTCTACGCTTCATAAGTGCACACAATCGACAATTAATCGCAAGTAGACTTTTGATACAATAAACTAAAATTCTCATTTAAATACAATGTCCGATTGTAAGCGCAGTTATCGTTATCGCGCCTTCGATTATTTTGTACGCGCCATTGGCTTCGCCAGTCTGTTCATCGTTATGAGCGCCATCTATAGGCAGGACGATGATCCTGGCTCCAACTATATACATCCCAGACACGGAATGCAGTAAAGCCAATAACCTAACTAGACATAAGTGATTTCTTTAAGTATTGTCTACCTAATTAACAATGCACTTTACTTTAGTAAACTGTTCAATATTTAATTAAAAGAAAAAACAAAGCTAAAGATGTTAATAATGTAAGTATTTTAACGAAAACTGTGGTTAAGCTAAGCGTCGCATTGAATTGGAGACGCGAGATTTCCACTGACTTGGTTATTCAGTCCAAGGAGCGCAGCAACGTTTGTGCTGCCTTGCGCAAAATTCGATTGCTCATCGAATCGCTGCGCAAACGAATGCGGCCAACACATTTCCTGGCCGTTGCGCTAAACTCGGGCGGTGTGCAACAGCGATTCCTGAAACTAAAGGTAAGTGCCCATCCAGTTTGTTGAGAAGACTTTAACTCAGTATATATTTTCCCACAGCAAAACAATTTGGATGCACAACTGCCGGGCATCGACCAGGAGCTTTTTATTCCGGCCTGTATGCAGCGGACAATAACGATCCCGATAGCATCAAACTTCACATGACGCTGCTAAACAGTCGATATACCAATAAGAAACCCAATAAGAATGAAAGCAACAGCTTCGATGCACGTGAGATTCTTAAACGCTTTGGCGACTATGACTTTGGCAAGGCTCAGTGCAACGAGGTGCACATGTGTGTGTGCAAATCGTACTGTGAAGGTGATGACTTCTACATGACAACGGGTAGTCTGAAATTTTAATCAACTGTCCAAATAAAACTTGTAATATGGATGGTAAACATCCAGCTTATAGTCCAATAAGTATAAGTATCACATTGATTTCATTAGAAATTTATGTTTTTCTTATGAATTTCTTATTTTTGATTACCATTGTGATATGTGAAAGGGCAGTGGCATTGAGGTGCGAATCTTGATTAAGAAATTGGATTGAGCAAATATTCCTTGATTTTGTTAATTATTATTTAAGGCATAAGTACTGATAAGCAAATATAAAATATGTATGCACATATCAAAATACATCTATATAAAATAATGCTATAAATACCCAGTCGACTGAGCTTTCATCTCAGTTTGGCTTCGCACTCTCTTGTGATGAATATAATCAGCGCTTTGAGCATTTCACTTTATGTGGCAACAGCTGGTCGGCTTTCGTTAGCTGATGATGGCGGTAATATATATATTTATAAATCGTACAGTTCGCTCCAGATGCCCTTAAATAATACACATTATATAGGTAATTTTTGTATGAGAGGAGATGGACTGCCTGGAAATTGTATACATGTTAGAGAGTGTAAAAAAATAGATGACTTATACCATCTGATTATAAGGAAACTGGGAACACCTGCTGACCGACAATACATGAGGAATTCACGTTGCCCCGTTTATAAAAGATTGGTACATTACTCAGAGATTTGATTTGCTTAACCTAAATCACTTAACTCAATCATTTTATTATCCACCAGAATCATGTATGTTGTGAAGAAGAAGTATCCGAGAGAGTTAAAATATTGTTGGAACAGGATTGTGGTTATATAGGTCTCACTCAAAAGGTATCCGTTGGAAATAAGATAAGATTAATGTCAAGACTGTCAAGAGATAAGAGATGGCTGACTCAAAATATAGGCTTTGGAAATGAGATAAGATTAATGTCAAGACCATGGCTGGCTCTTCTTAAGCTCAAAAGGAACTCCGATGTAGAATATGCATGTGCTGGCACCCTTATAACAAATCGTAAGTAAGCACAGGAATCTGAATTGATATACTGATCTATAATTGATTATAATTATTAGGTTTTGTTTTAACCGCCGCGCATTGTTTTGATGGACAAGAGCTGTAAGTAAGAAGCATAAGCTGTGCGCCCGCCTTTCATATTGTAAGCTTCCAAATCTTTATTATCATAGATTAGAAGTGCGTTTGGGGGAACACAGAATATCCACCGAACAAGACTGTGATGACATAGGAAACACTCGCATATGTGCACCACCAGTTAGAGATATTTCTTTCGACAAAATTTTTGTGCATGAAAATTTCTCACGAGACCCTGCTGAAAATGATATTGCATTAATCAAGTTATCGACAGACGTTGAGAGCAGTTGTAAGTTAAATTGTTAGTATTATTTACAGTTGCACACTTAATCGGTTATGTCCTTGCCACAGTTAGCATCCGGCCCATCTGTTTGCCAGTAAATTACACACTTCAACAAGAAGCTGAACATAAGGAGAGATTCAGGGTAACTGGCTGGGGAGCAACCGAAAGGTCAATCCACTCCGATGTACCCATGGAGACGGCAGTCGATTGGCAGAATCGTTCACTCTGCCAAAATGTATACGGACAAAGCATGAAATCGAGTCATATCTGCGCTGGTAGCTTTCAAATGGATTCATGCTATGGTGATTCTGGTGGTCCACTATTTTATCCAACTGAATATAATGGAAAGCAACGTATGGTTCAGTTTGGAATAGTCAGCTATGGTTCCTCTTTTTGCGGGGGTGGAAAACCGGGTGTCTACACAAATGTTGCCAGTTTTATACGCTGGATCGCTGACAAATTAATTGCTAATTAGCGATAAATTTCTGTTGTATTTTCATTTTTAATAAATATGAATGAATTTATCGAGAGCATAAGAGATAACACATATATTTTTTAGTAAATCGAAATGGTTTCCTGTAACTGAGCCAAGCGCTGCGCATTCGTCAACTTCCATGTGACACAGGCTAGAGATGTGATGAGGAAGCCAATGCCTCGAATGAGAATTGCCAGACGTAAGTCTGTGTCTGTGTCAAGAGGAGCAACGCTGCGAGGCTGCACTTACCCATTAGCAGTACGGCCTCAGATGTTTCGTCCTGCCAGGATTTGGATACCGCGCACAGCAAGATAAATCCGCTGAGCAGGCAAAAGGAGCCAACGACAACAGCTAATGTTATTAGGATGATGGCCGGATCGGTCTCTCTGAGCGTCTTATTTGGAAAGAGCGTTTGGCAGAGCGATGCCTTCTTCGAGTCACTGCTGTGGACACTGCTAGGTAAATCGATGCATAAAATAATCGAATCGTTCGAGCCGAATCAGTTACACACCAGGACTCTGCATAGGTTGGCAGAATGGGAACACTTCTGCATTCCATGACGCTGCTCTCTGCACTGCTAGCATGCGAGCAGCATCCGAAAGTAGTCTCCGGCTTACTTCGGATAGCTCGCACCACTTTTCTAAATATATATCTGCACTTATGGTAGACAGCTGATGCCTCGCGTGTCTGGTCGTCCGGGATGGGGCGCATCTGTCGGTATTTATAGCTAGATAGGAAGCGGCGGATTCGGAGTCGCAGCGGAACTAAACTCCCATTTCATCCAATTTCAGCATTCAACAATGATGATATTTTTGGCTCAATGGGCAGGCCCTTCTTACTTATGTCTATATATATTTACGTTAAGGTCATTGCACCCCCTTTTATAATCTTGCAACCATGTTAATATTTTCAAATACACAAATATATTTTGTAAGCTGAATTGGGGACAATGAGTATTTTATGTGCATATATATGTATTTACCTCGATTTGTATTCGTGCTTTAATAATATACATCAGAACAGTTTGTGGGATATATTTCTTTATGGAGTCGCTTTACTGTACAGAAAATCGTTAAATTTTTTCATTTAAGCTACGATTCCTCCGCCAGCACATTGGTTATCCATGGCATAAACCGGGCAACATTAATGCCCACACTTGGATTACAGTTTCGATAGCCAAAAGAAACAATCGCAAATTGGACGAAGCGTTTCATTCCAGAATAATCAACTAGACCACTTAATGGATTGCCAGATGTGCCTCTGCAAAGAGTCTCACTGCTTGCCGAGAAACAAATGTGGTTCTCGCTCTTAACAGGAATAAGCGGTCCACATGTTTGATTTGCGACATTATTGTTGACAATCATCTCATGCAGCTTAACATTGCTTAAGCCCCAGTTGTTATAACCCCAGCCCGTGTGGAGGAGTGTTTCCCGGGATGTCGCTTCTTTTTCTAATGCTGCATTCACTGGCAAACAGATGGGACTGTTGTGTTCTGATGAAAGAAGTCAATTGATTTCAATTGCATAATTGAATGGATTAGAATAATCATCTTACCTTTGACGTCAACCTTGCTTTTGAGTTTTATCAGAGCGATATCATTGGAAAATGATGTTGGTGTTTCAAAGTTTTCATGAATTATGACGCTCTCGATGCCAAAGCTCTCAATATTTGACAAACATGTTGTCTTCGTTGTGGAATTGTTGCAGTCTACATCCGTTGTTAGGTCTGCAACAATCAATTATAATCTGATTTGATCATACATTGTCCTCATTATCATTGCACATAACATGTATCTATATATGAAATCTTCATATTCCAAATGGCTGATGGCGGTACTTACATCTCAGCGCCTTTAACACAATGCGCAACAGTTGGAACGAATTCTGATTGTGAAAGGTCAATTACAAAGATTAAAACTGTAAGTTGTGATCACGACAGTAACTCACGATCCGTAATAAGGGAGCTTTGTCCTAATCAGTGCCATCCAGGGCCTCGATCCAGTGAAAACTTCCTCTCCTCCTATAATATGGCTTTCCTTAAAGATGCCACAATTATTTTGCTCCAATCGGCGCAACCCATCCGGATTAAGCTCTATTTAACAAGGTTGTGAATGTCATGACACCAATCCGGTTATATATATATATATATAAATATGCATTTACCTGTTGCCGTACAGATTGCAAACAGGCCGAGAAGTAATTGAATCGACTTAATCGATCTCATGTTGAATAAACTCGTAGGAAACGACTGTTGAACATGGGTGGTTTGTGTTCACTTTTATAGCCCCAGGTTGAATAGGTTATTTTAATAAACTGCATGTACAATGTATATATACATCCAATATACATAAATATGATCGACAGCTATTTACTAACTCACGGCTTATATTATATAGGTATGTGTAATTTAAGTAATATGCCTGTAAATGTCTAGAATATACGCACTTATTTCATCTTATATTGTACGCATATTAGAATAACTTACTGAGCTATTGTTTCATGATTTATATTATATTAATGGAGTATTGATAACGTTGATAACCTTGATAGCTAGCCAAATAGCATAATTAGACGCTCAACAACATTTAGCAAATGCATATTAGAAAAACACCAAATTTGCGTAACAATTTTAGCTTATCTGCCAATTTAGAAGTCGACTCACGTCGGGTCGCGCATGCCAAAAATATATACACACGTAAATAAATAAATGTGTACATTTGTAAATGCTCCATGAATGCGAAGCTGACGAAAAGTGGTCATGATTGTTTAGTGTTTAATTTAATATTGAGATCTGCAGAGACACAACAGGCAACAGAGATCAATTCAGAACGCTGGGTATTCTCCACAATTCTCTGTAATCTCGGTCTGTGGGTAAAACACACGAGCACAAAACCCAACACACACAAAGCGAAACACTTAAGTCTCGAATTCGACAGTTAGTTGGATTTCTACGCTTCATAAGTGCACACAATCGACAATTAATCGCAAGTAGACTTTTGATACAATAAACTAAAATTCTCATTTAAATACAATGTCCGATTGTAAGCGCAGTTATCGTTATCGCGCCTTCGATTATTTTGTACGCGCCATTGGCTTCGCCAGTCTGTTCATCGTTATGAGCGCCATCTATAGGCAGGACGATGATCCTGGCTCCAACTATATACATCCCAGACACGGCATGCAGTAAAGCCAATAACCTAACTAGACTTAAGTGATTTCTTTAAGTATTTTCTACCTAATTAACAATACACTTTACGTTAGTAAACTGTTCAATATTTAATAAAAAAAAAAAAGCTAAAGATTTTAATAATGTGAGTATTTTAACGAAAAGTGTGGTTAAGCTAACTGGGAATAGTATAAATAAAATCCGTTGTTTTCCATGGGTTGTTTATATACTTTGATTCATGCATATAATTACAATTATTTGTTTACGAACAATTCGCATTTCCCCAACGAATGGAGATGCGTGGAAGTGCAGTTCTCCTGTTCTGCACCGACATTTTCATTATTGCAATTTGTTTCGGGTGATATGTATCATGTATCCTACTTATATTCTTCTTAATTTAAAGTATAAATACAAAGTAACGGAAGAAAGTGCAGACCCAACTGTCCAAATAAAACTTGTAATATGGATGGTAAACATCCAACTTATAGTCCAATAAGTATAATCAGATTGATTTCTTTGGAAATGTATGTTTTTCTTATGAATTTCTTATTTTTGATTACGATTTTAATATGTGAAAGGGCAGTGGCATTGAGGTGCGAATCTTGATTAAGAAGAAATTGGATTGAGCAAATATTGTTATTTTAAGCATAAGGACTGATAAGCAAATATAAAATATGTATGCACATATATATACATCTATATAAAATAATGCTTTAAATACCCAGTCGACTGAGCTTTCATCTCAGTTTGGCTTCGCACTCTCTTGTGATGAATATAATCAGCGCTTTGAGCATTTCACTTTATGTGGCAACAGCTGGTCGGCTTTCGTTAGCTGATGATGGCGGTAATATATATATTTATAAATCGTACAGTTCGCTCCAGATGCCCTTAAATAATACACATTATATAGGTACTTTTTGTACGAGAGGAGATGGACTGCCTGGAAAATGTATAGATATTGAAGACTGTCAAAAAATAGACGACCTAAACCAACATATTAGAAGGAAACAGGGAACACCTGCTGACCAAGAATACATGAGGAATTCACGTTGCCCCATTTATAAAGAGGTTGGTACATTACTCAGAGATTTGATTTGCTTAACCATAATCACTTAACTCAATAATTTTATTATCCACCAGAATTATGTATGTTGTGAAGAAGAAGAAGTATCCGAGGGAGTTAAAATATTGTTGGAACAGGATTGTGGTTATATAGGTCCCTCTCAAAGGGTACACTTTGGAAATGAGATAAGATTAATGTCAAGACCATGGCTGGCTCTTCTTAAGCTTAAAAGGAAATCCGATGTAGAATATGCATGTGGTGGCACCCTTATAACAAATCGTAAGTAAACAGAGGAATCTGAATTGATATACTGATCTATAATTGATTATAATTATTAGGTTTTGTTTTAACCGCCGCGCATTGTTTTGATGGACAAGAGCTGTAAGTAAGAAGTATAAGTTGTGCGCCCGCCTTTCATATTGTAAGCTTCCAAATCTTTATTATCATAGATTAGAAGTGCGTTTGGGGGAACACAGAATATCCACCGAACAAGACTGTGATGCCACAGGAAACACTCGCATATGTGCACCACCAGTTAGAGATATTTCTTTCGACAAAATTTTTGTGCATGAAAATTTCTCACGAGACCTGCTGAAAATGATATTGCATTAATCAAGTTATCGACAGACGTTGAGAGCAGTTGTAAGTTAAATTGTTAGTATTGTTTACAGTTGCACACTTAATCGGTTATGTCCTTGCCACAGTTAGCATTCGGCCCATCTGTTTGCCAGTAAATTACACACTTCAACAAGAAGCTGAACATAGGAAGATATTCAGGGTAACTGGCTGGGGAGCAACCGATGTACCCATGGAGACGGCAGTCGATAGGCAGAATCGTTCACTCTGCCAAAATGTATACGGACAAAGCATGAAATCGAGTCATATCTGTGCTGGTAGCTTGCAAAGGGATTCATGCTATGGTGGTTCAGGTGGTCCACTATTTTATCCAACTGTATATAATGGAGTGCAACGTATGGTTCAGTTTGGAATAGTCAGCTATGGTTCGACTTCTTGCGGGGATGGAAAACCGGGTGTCTACACAAATGTTGCCAGTTTTATACGCTGGATCGCTGACAAATTAATTGCTAATTAGCGATAAATTTCTGTTGTATTTTCATTTTTAATAAATATGAATGAATTTATCGAGAGCATAAGAGATAACACATATATTTTTTAGTAAATCGAAATGGTTTCCTGTAACTGAGCCAAGCGCTGCGCATTCGTCAACTTCCATGTGACACAGGCTAGAGATGTGATGAGGAAGCCAATGCCTCGAATGAGAATTGCCAGACGTAAGTCTGTGTCTGTGTCAAGAGGAGCAACACTGTGAGGCTGCACTTACCCATTAGCAGTACGGCCTCAGATGTTTCGTCCTGCCAGGATTTGGATACCGCGCACAGCAAGATAAATCCGCTAAGCAGGCAAAAGGAGCCAACGACAACAGCTAATGTTATTAGGATGATGGCCGGATCGGTCTCTCTGAGCGTCTTATTTGGAAAGAGCGTTTGGCAGTCACTGCTGTGGACACTGCGAGGTAAATCGATGCATAAAATAATCAAATCGTTCGAGCCGAATCAGTTACACACCAGGTTTCCGATAGGTTGGCAGAATGGGAACACTTCTGCATTCCATGACGCTGCTCTCTGCACTGCTAGCATGCGAGCAGCATCCGAAAGTAGTCTCCGACTTACTTCGGATAGCTTGCACCACTTTTCGAAATATACATCTGCACTTATGGCAGACAGCTGTAAGTGTGATCACGACAGTAACTCACGATCTGTAATAAGGGTTCCTGAACACATATTTGAAATTTTATCCGGAAGCTTTGTCCTAATCAGTGCCATCCAGGGACTCGATCCAGTGTAAACTTCATCTCCTATAATATGGCTTTCCTTAAAGATGCCACAATTATTTTGCTCCAATCGGCGCAACCCATCCGGATTAAGCTTTATTTAACAAGGGTGTGAATGGCATGACACCAATCCGGCTATATATATATATTGATATATGTATATATATACATCCAATATACATAAATATGATCGACATCTATTTACTAACTTACGGCTTATATTATATAGGTATGTGTAATTTAAGTAATATGTCTCTAAGCGTCTAGAATGTACGCACTTATTTCATCTTATATAGTACGCATATTAGAATAATTTACTGAGCTATTGTTTCATGATTTATATTATATTAATGGAATATTGATAACGTTGATAACCTTGATAGCTAGCCAAATAGCATAATTAGACGCTCAACAACATTTAGCAAATGCATATTAGAAAAACACCAAATTTGCGTAACAATTTTAACTTATCTGCCAATTTAGAAATCGACTCACGTCGGGTCGCGCATGCCAAAAATATATACACACGTAAATAAATAAATGTGTACATTTGTAAATGCTCCATGAATGCGAAGCTGACGAAAAATGGTTATAATTGTTAAGTGTTTAATTTAATATTGAGATCTGCAGAGATCAATTCAGAACGCTGGGTATTCTCCACAATTCTCTGTAATCTCGGTCTGTGGGTAAAACACACGAGCACAAAACCCAACACACACAAAGCGAAACACTTAAGTCTCGAATTCGACAGTTAGTTGGATTTCTACGCTTCATAAGTGCACACAATCGACAATTAATCGCAAGTAGACTTTTGATACAATAAACTAAAATTCTCATTTAAATACAATGTCCGATTGTAAGCGCAGTTATCGTTATCGCGCCTTCGATTATTTTGTACGCGCCATTGGCTTCGCCAGTCTGTTCATCGTTATGAGCGCCATCTACAGGCAGGACTATGATCCCGGCTCCAACTATATACATCCCAAACACGGCATGCAGTAAAGCCAATAATCTAACTAGACTTAAGTGATTTCTTTAAGTATTATCTACCTAATTAACAATGCACTTTACTTTAGTAAACTGTTCAATATTTAATTAAAAGAAAAAACAAAGCTAAAGATGTTAATAATGTAAGTATTTTAACGAAAACTGTGGTTAAGCTAAGCGTCGCATTGAATTGGAGACGCGAGATTTCCACTGACTTGGTTATTCAGTCCAAGGAGCGCAGCAACGTTTGTGCTGCCTTGCGCAAAATTCGATTGCTCATCGAATCGCTGCGCAAACGAATGCGGCCAACACATTTCCTGGCCGTTGCGCTAAACTCGGGCGGTGTGCAACAGCGATTCCTAAAGCTAAAGGTAAGTGCCCATCCAGTTTGTTGAGGAGACTTTAGCCCAGCATATATTTTCCCACAGCAAAACAATTTGCATGCACAACTGCCGGGCATCGACCAGGAGCTTTTTATTTCAGAGAACTGCATTCATATTACACTGGGCGTGTATGTGCTCTTGGATGACGCTGAACGCAAACAGGCCATTAGCGAGCTGGAACTCTGTCGCCAATGGCTGGTCGACTTGCACACACCATTCGAGCTAAACATTCAAGGCCTGGAAATCTTCAACGATGATCCCAGCTCGACCAGAGTGCTTTACGCCCGTATCGAGTCGCCGGAGCTTCAGCAGTTCGCGAACAAATGCAAGAAGCATTTCCAAACCACCGGCCTGTATGCAGCGGACAATAACGATCCCGATAGCATCAAACTTCACATGACGCTGCTAAACAGTCGATATACCAATAAGAAACCCAATAAGAATGAAAGCAACAGCTTCGATGCACGTGAGATTCTTAAACGCTTTGGCGACTATGACTTTGGCAAGGCTCAGTGCAACGAGGTGCACATGTGTGTGTGCAAATCGTACTGTGAAGGTGATGACTTCTATAAGACAACGGGTAGTCTGAAATTTTAATCAACTGTCCAACTAAAACTTGTAATATGGATGGTAAACATCCAGCTTATAGTCCAATAAGTATAAATGTCACATTGATTTCATTAGAAATTTATGTTTTTCTTATGAATTATGGATTGAGCAAATATTGTTATTTTAAGCATAAGGACTGATAAGCAAATATAAAATATGTATGCACATAAGCAAATACATCTATATAAAATAATGCTATAAATACCCAGTCGACTGAGCTTTCATCTCAGTTTGGCTTCGCACTCTCTTGTGATGAATATAATCAGCGCTTTGAGCATTTCACTTTATGTGGCAACAGCTGGTCGGCTTTCGTTAGCTGATGATGGCGGTAATATATATTTAAAAATCGTACAGTTCGCTCCAGATGCCCTTAAATAATACACATTATATAGGTAATTTTTGTATGAGAGGAGATGGACAGCCTGGAAAATGTATACATATTAGAGAGTGTCAAAAAATAGACGACTTATACCATCTGATTAGAAGGAAACTGGGAACACTTGCTGACCGACAATACATGAAGAATTCACGTTGCCCCGTTTATAAAACGGTTGGTACATTAATCAGAGATTTGATTTGCTTAACCTAAATCACTTAACTCAATCATTTTATTATCCACCAGAATCATGTATGTTGTGAAGAAGAAGTATCCGAGGGAGTTAAAATATTGTTGGAACAGGATTGTGGTTATATGGGTCCCATTCAAAAGACAAGATTAATGTCAAGACCATGGATGGCTCTTCTTAAGCTCAAACAGAACTCCAATGTAGAATATGCATGTGGTGGCACCCTTATAACAAATCGTAAGTAAACACAGGAATCTGAATTGATATACTGATCTATAATTGATTATAATTATTAGGTTTTGTTTTAACCGCCGCGCATTGTTTTGATGGACAAGAGCTGTAAGTAAGAAGTATAAGTTGTGCGCCCGCCTTTCATATTGTAAGCTTCCAAATCTTTATTATCATAGATTAGAAGTACGTTTGGGGGAACACAGAATATCCACCGAACAAGACTGTGATGACATAGGAAACACTCGCATATGTGCACCACCAGTTAGAGATATTTCTTTCGACAAAATTTTTGTGCATGAAAATTACTCACGAGACTCTGCTGAAAATGATATTGCATTAATCAAGTTATCGACAGACGTTGAGAGCAGTTGTAAGTTAAATTGTTAGTATTATTTACAGTTGCACACTTAATCGGTTATGTCCTTGCCACAGTTAGCATTCGGCCCATCTGTTTGCCAGTAAATTACACACTTCAACAAGAAGCTGAACATAAGGAGATATTCAGGGTAACTAGCTGGGGAGCAACCGAAAGGTCAATCCACTCCGATGTACCCATGGAGACGGCAGTCGTTTGGCAGAATCGTTCACTCTGCCAAAATGTATACGGACAAAGCATGAAATCGAGTCATATCTGCGCTGGTAGCTTCCAAAAGGATTCATGCGAAGGTGATTCTGGTGGTCCACTATTTTATCCAACTGTATATAATGGAGTGCAACGTATGGTTCAGTTTGGAATAGTCAGCTATGGTTCGACTTCTTGCGTGGATGGAAACCCGGGTGTCTACACAAATGTTGCCAGTTTTATACGCTGGATCGCTGACAAATTAATTGCTAATTAGCGATAAATTTCTGTTGTATTTGTCATTTTTAATAAATATTAATGAATATATCGAGAGCATAAGAGATAACACATATATTTTTTAGTAAATCGAAATGGTTTCCTGTAACTGAGCCAAGCGCTGCGCATTCGTCAACTTCCATGTGACACAGGCTAGAGATGTGATGAAGAAGCCAATGCCTCGAATGAGAATTGCCAGACGTAAGTCTGTGTCTGTGTCAAGAGGAGCAACGCTGTGAGGCTGCACTTACCCATTAGCAGTACGGCCTCAGATGTTTCGTCCTGCCAGGATTTGGATACCGCGCACAGCAAGATAAATCCGCTGAGCAGGCAAAAGGAGCCAACGACAACAGCTAATGTTATTAGGATGATGGCCGGATCGGTCTCTCTGAGCGTCTTATTTGGAAAGAGCGTTTGGCAGAGCGATGCCTTCTTCGAGTCACTGCTGTGGACACTGCGAGGTAAATCGATGCATAAAATAATCGAATCGTTCGAGCCGAATCAGTTACACACCAGGACTCTGCATAGGTTGGCAGAATGGGAACACTTCTGCATTCCATGACGCTGCTCTCTGCACTGCTAGCATGCGAGCAGCATCCGAAAGTAGTCTCCGGCTTACTTCGGATAGCTCGCACCACTTTTCTAAATATACATCTGCACTTATGGCAGACAGCTGATGCCTCGCGTGTCTGGTCGTCCGGGATGGGGCGCATCTGTCGGTATTTATAGCTAGATAGGAAGTGGCGGATTCGAAGTCGCAGCGGAACTAAATTCCCATTTCATCCAATTTCAGCATTGAACAATGATGATATTTTTGGCTCAATAGGCAGGCCCGTCTTACTTATGTCTATATATATTTACGTTAAGGTCATTGCACCCCCTTTTATAATCTTGCAACCATGTTAGTATTTTCAAATACACAAATATATTTCGCAATCTGAATTGGGGACAATGGGTATTTGATGTGCATATATATGTATTTACCTCGATTTGTATTCGTGCTTTAATAATATACATCAGAACAGTTTGTGGGATATATTTCTTTATGGAATCGCTTTACTGTACAGAAAATCGTTAAAATTTTTCATTTAAGCTACGATTCCTCAGCCAGCACATTGGTTATCCATGGCATAAACCGGGCAACATTAATGCCCACACTTGGATTACAGTTTCGATAGCCAAAAGAAACAATCGCAAATTGGACGAAGCGTTTCATTCCAGAATAATCAACTAGACCACTTAATGGATTGCCAGATGTGCCTCTGCAAAGAGTCTCACTGCTTGCCGAGAAACAAATGTGGTTCTCGCTCTTAACAGGAATAAGCGGTCCACATGTTTGATTTGCGACATTATTGTTGACAATCACCTCATGCAGCTTAACATTGCTTAAGCCCCAGTTGTTATAACCCCAGCCAGTGTGGAGCAGTGTTTCCCGGGATGTCGCTTCTTTTTCTAATGCTGCATTCACTGGCAAACAGATGGGACTGTTGTGTTCTGATGAAAGAAGTCAATTGATTTCAATTGCATAATTGAATGGATTAGAATAATCATCTTACCTTTGACGTCAACCTTGCTTTTGAGTTTTATCAGAGCGATATCATTGGAAAATGATGTTGGTGTTTCAAAGTTTTCATGAATTATGACGCTCTCGATGCCAAAGCTCTCAATATTTGACAAACATGTTGTCTTCGTTGTGGAATTGTTGCAGTCTACATCCGTTGTTAGGTCTGCAACAATCAATTATAATCTGATTTGATCATACATTGTCCTCATTATCATATCACATAACATGTATCTATATATGAAATCTCCATATTCCAAATGGCTGATGGCGGTACTTACATCTCAGCGCCTTTAACACAATGCGCAACAGTTGGAACGAATTCTGATTGTGAAAGGTCAATTATAAAGATTAAAACTATACGTTGTGATCACGACAGTAACTCACGATCCGTAATAAGGGAGCTTTGTCCTAATCAGTGCCATCCAGGGCCTCGATCCAGTGAAAACTTCCTCTCCTCCTATAATATGGCTTTCCTTAAAGATGCCACAATTATTTTGCTCCAATCGGCGCAACCCATCCGGATTAAGCTCTATTTAACAAGGGTGTAAGTGTCATGACACCAATCCGGTTAAATATATATATATATATGTGCATTTACCTGTTGCCGTACAGATTGCAAACAGGCCGAGAAGTAATTGAATCGACTTAATCGATCTCATGTTGAATAAACTCGTAGGAAACGACTGTTGAACATGGGTGGTTTGTGTTCACTTTTATAGCCCCAGGTTGAATAGGTTATTTTAATAAACTGCATGTACAATGTATATATACATCCAATATACATAAATATGATCGACAGCTATTTACTAACTCACGGCTTATATTATATAGGTATGTGTAATTTAAGTAATATGCCTGTAAATGTCTAGAATATACGCACTTATTTCATCTTATATTGTACGCATATTAGAATAACTTACTGAGCTATTGTTTCATGATTTATATTATATTAATGGAGTATTGATAACGTTGATAACCTTGGTAGCACGAGCAATTTGATAAGCTTGCTAAATTTGGTTATGCCCCGTTGAAGGGACCAAGCCAAATAGCATAATTAGACGCTCGACAACATTTAGCAAATGCATATTAGAAAAACACCAAATTTGCGTAACAATTTTAACTTATCTGCCAATTTAGAAATCGACTCACGTCGGGTCGCGCATGCCAAAAATATATACACACGTAAATAAATAAATGTGTACATTTGTAAATGCTCCATGAATGCGAAGCTGACGAAAAGTGGTCATGATTGTTTAGTGTTTAATTTAATATTGAGATCTGCAGAGAGACAACAGGCAAAAGAGATCAATTCAGAACGCTGGGTATTCTCCACAATTCTCTGGAATCTCGCTCTGTGGGTAAAACACACGAGCACAAAACCCAACACACACAAAGCGAAACACTTAAGTCTCGAATTCGACAGTTAGTTGGATTTCTACGCTTCATAAGTGCACACAATCGACAATTGATCGCAAGTAGACTTTTGATACAATAAACTAAAATTCTCATTTAAATACAATGTCCGATTGTCGGCTGATATCGTTATCGCGCCTTCGATTATTTTGTACGCGCCATTGCCTTCGCCAGTCTGTTCATCGTTATGAGCGCCATCTACAGGCAGGACGATGATCCTGGCTCCAACTATATACATCCCAGACACGGCATGCAGTAAAGCCAATAACCTAACTAGACTTAAGTGATTTCTTTAAGTATTTTCTACCTAATTAACAATACACTTTACTTTAGTAAACTGTTCAATATTTAATAAAAAAAAAAAAGCTAAATATGTTAATAATGTGAGTTTTTTTTAACGAAAACTGTGGTTAAGCTAACTGGAAATAGTATAAATAAAATCTGTTGTTTTCCATGGGTTGTTTATATACTTTGATTCATGCATATAATTACAATTATTTGTTTACGAACAATTCGCATTTCCCCAACGAATGGAGATGCGTGGAAGTGCAGTTCTCCTGTTCTGCACCGACATTTTCATTATTGCAATTTGTTTCGGGTGATATGTATCATGTATCCTACTTATATTCTTCTTAATTTAAAGTATAAATACAAAGTAACGGAAGAAAGTGCAGACCCAACTGTCCAAATAAAACTTGTAATATGGATGGTAAACATCCAACTTATAGTCCAATAAGTATAATCAGATTGATTTCTTTGGAAATGTATGTTTTTCTTATGAATTTCTTATTTTTGATTACGATTTTAATATGTGAAAGGGCAGTGGCATTGAGGTGCGAATCTTGATTAAGAAGAAATTGGATTGAGCAAATATTCCTTGAATTGTTTTATTATTATTTAAGGCATAAGTACTGATAAGCAAATATATAATATGTATGCACATAAGCAAATACATCTATATAAAATAATGCTATAAATACCCAGTCGACTGAGCTTTCATCTCAGTTTGGCTTCGCACTCTCTTGTGATGAATATAATCAGCGCGTTGAGCATTGCACTTTATGTGGCAACAGCTGGTCGGCTTTCGTTAGCTGATGATGGCGGTAATATATATATTTATAAATCGTACAGTTCGCTCCAGATGCCCTTAAATAATACACATTATATAGGTACTTTTTGTACGAGAGGAGATGGACTGCCTGGAAAATGTATAGATATTGAAGACTGTCAAAAAATAGACGACCTAAACCAACATATTAGAAGGAAACAGGGAACACCTGCTGACCAAGAATACATGAGGAATTCACGTTGCCCCATTTATAAAGAGGTTGGTACATTACTCAGAGATTTGATTTGCTTAACCATAATCACTTAACTCAATAATTTTATTATCCACCAGAATTATGTATGTTGTGAAGAAGAAGAAGTATCCGAGGGAGTTAAAATATTGTTGGAACAGGATTGTGGTTATATAGACTTTCACTCTCACTCTCAAAGGGTTCACTTTGGAAATGAGATAAGATTAATGTCAAGACCATGGCTGGCTCTTCTTAAGCTCAAAAGGAACTCCGATGTAGAATATGCATGCGGTGGCACCCTTATAACAAATCGTAAGTAAACACAGGAATCTGAATTGATATACTGATCTATAATTGATTATAATTATTAGGTTTTGTTTTAACCGCCGCGCATTGTTTTGATGGACAAGAGCTGTAAGTAAGAAGTATAAGTTGTGCGCCCGCCTTTCATATTGTAAGCTTCCAAATCTTTATTATCATAGATTAGAAGTGCGTTTGGGGGAATACAGAATATCCACCGAACAAGACTGTGATGTCACAGGAAACACTCGCATATGTGCACCACCAGTTAGAGATATTTCTTTCGACAAAATTTTTGTGCATGAAAATTACTCACGAGACTCTGCTGAAAATGATATTGCATTAATCAAGTTATCGACAGACGTTGAGAGCAGTTGTAAGTTAAATTGTTAGTATTATTTACAGTTGCACTCTTAATCGGTTAGTCCTTTCCATAGTTAGCATTCGGCCCATCTGTTTGCCAGTAAATTACACACTTCAACAAGAAGCTGAACATAAGGAGAGATTCAGGGTAACTGGCTGGGGAGCAACCGAAAGGTCAATCCACTCCGATGTACCCATGGAGACGGCAGTCGATAGGCAGAATCGTTCACTCTGCCAAAATGTATACGGACAAAGCATGAAATCGAGTCATATCTGTGCTGGTAGCTTGCAAAGGGATTCATGCTATGGTGGTTCAGGTGGTCCACTATTTTATCCAACTGTATATAATGGAGTGCAACGTATGGTTCAGTTTGGAATAGTCAGCTATGGTTCGACTTCTTGCGGGGATGGAAAACCGGGTGTCTACACAAATGTTGCCAGTTTTATACGCTGGATCGCTGACAAATTAATTGCTAATTAGCGATAAATTTCTGTTGTATTTGTCATTTTTAATAAATATTAATGAATATATCGAGAGCATAAGAGATAACACATATATTTTTTAGTAAATCGAAATGGTTTCCTGTAACTGAGCCAAGCGCTGCGCATTCGTCAACTTCCATGTGACACAGGCTAGAGATGTGATGAAGAAGCCAATGCCTCGAATGAGAATTGCCAGACGTAAGTCTGTGTCTGTGTCAAGAGGAGCAACGCTGTGAGGCTGCACTTACCCATTAGCAGTACGGCCTCAGATGTTTCGTCCTGCCAGGATTTGGATACCGCGCACAGCAAGATAAATCCGCTGAGCAGGCAAAAGGAGCCAACGACAACAGCTAATGTTATTAGGATGATGGCCGGATCGGTCTCTCTGAGCGTCTTATTTGGAAAGAGCGTTTGGCAGAGCGATGCCTTCTTCGAGTCACTGCTGTGGACACTGCTAGGTAAATCGATGCATAAAATAATCGAATCGTTCGAGCCGAATCAGTTACACACCAGGACTCTGCATAGGTTGGCAGAATGGGAACACTTCTGCATTCCATGACGCTGCTCTCTGCACTGCTAGCATGCGAGCAGCATCCGAAAGTAGTCTCCGGCTTACTTCGGATAGCTCGCACCACTTTTCTAAATATATATCTGCACTTATGGCAGACAGCTGATGCCTCGCGTGTCTGGTCGTCCCGGATGGGGCGCATCTGTCGGTATTTATAGCTAGATAGGAAGTGGCGGATTCGGAGTCGCAGCGGAACTAAACTCCCATTTCATCCAATTTCAGCATTCAACAATGATGATATTTTTGGCTCAATGGGCAGGCCCGTCTTACTTATGTCTATATATATTTACGTTAAGGTCATTGCACCCCCTTTTATAATCTTGCAACCATGTTAATATTTTCAAATACACAAATATATTTTGTAAGCTGAATTGGGGACAATGAGTATTTGATGTGCATATATATGTATGTATTTACCTCGATTTGTATTCGTGCTTTAATAATATACATCAGAACAGTTTGTGGGATATATTTCTTTATGGAGTCGCTTTACTGTACAGAAAATCGTTAAAATTTTTCATTTATTCACGATTCCTCCGCCAGCACATTGGTTATCCATGGCATAAACCGGGCAACATTAATGCCCACACTTGGATTACAGTTTCGATAGCCAAAAGAAACAATCGCAAATTGGACGAAGCGTTTCATTCCAGAATAATCAACTAGACCACTTAATGGATTGCCAGATGTGCCTCTGCAAAGAGTCTCACTGCTTGCGGAGAAACAAATGTGGTTCTCGCTCTTAACAGGAATAAGCGGTCCACATGTTTGATTTGCGACATTATTGTTGACAATCACCTCATGCAGCTTATCATTGCTTAAGCCCCAGTTGTTATAACCCCAGCCCGTGTGGAGCAGTGTTTCCCGGGATGTCGCTTCTTTTTCTAATGCTGCATTCACTGGCAAACAGATGGGACTGTTGTGTTCTGATGAAAGAAGTCAATTGATTTCAATTGCATAATTGAATGGATTAGAATAATCATCTTACCTTTGAAGTCAACCTTGCTTTTGAGTTTTATCAGAGCGATATCATTGGAAAATGATGTTGGTGTTTCAAAGTTTTCATGAATTATGACGCTCTCGATGCCAAAGCTCTCAATATTTGACAAACATGTTGTCTTCGTTGTGGAATTGTTGCAGTCTACATCCGTTGTTAGGTCTACTTGCATTGATATTCTGCAACAATCAATTATAAGCTGATTTGATCATACATTGTCCTCATTATCATATCACATAACATGTATCTATATATGAAATCTCCATATTCCAAATGGCTGATGGCGGTACTTACATCTCAGCGCCTTTAACACAATGCGCAACAGTTAGAACGAATTCTGATTGTGAAAGGTCAATTATAAAGATTAAAACTGTAAGTGTGATCTCGATAGTAACTCACGATCTGTAATAAGGGTTCCTGAACACGTATTTGAAATTTTATCCGGAAGCTTTGTCCTAATCAGTGCCATCCATGGCCTCGATCCAGTGAAAACTTCCTCTCCTCCTATAATATGGCTTTCCTTAAAGATGCCACAATTATTTTGCTCCAATCGGCGCAACCCATCCGGATTAAGCTCTATTTAATAAGGGTGTAAGTGTCATGACACCAATCCGGTTAAATATATATATATATATATGTGCATTTACCTGTTGCCGTACAGATTGCAAACAGGCCGAGAAGTAATTGAATCGACTTAATCGATCTCATGTTGAATAAACTCGTAGGAAACGACTGTTGAACATGGGTGGTTTGTGTTCACTTTTATAGCCCCAGGTTGAATAGGTTATTTTAATAAACTGCATGTACAATGTATATATACATCCAATATACATAAATATGATCGACAGCTATTTACTAACTCACGGCTTATATTATATAGGTATGTGTAATTTAAGTAATATGCCTGTAAATGTCTAGAATATACGCACTTATTTCATCTTATATTGTACGCATATTAGAATAACTTACTGAGCTATTGTTTCATGATTTATATTATATTAATGGAATATTGATAACGTTGATAACCTTGATAGCTAGCCAAATAGCATAATTAGACGCTCAACAACATTTAGCAAATGCATATTAGAAAAACACCAAATTTGCGTAACAATTTTAATTTATCTGCCAATTTAGAAGTCGACTCACGTCGGGTCGCGCATGCCAAAAATATATACACACGTAAATAAATAAATGTGTACATTTATAAATGCTCCATGAAGGCGAAGCTGACGAAAAGTGGTTATGATTGTTTAGTGTTTAATTTAATATTGAGATCTGCAGAGAGACAACAGGCAACAGAGATCAATTCAGAACGCTGGGTATTCTCCACAATTCTCTGGAATCTCGCTCTGTGGGTAAAACACACGAGCACAAAACCCAACACACACAAAGCGAAACACTGAAAGTCTGCGCTTGCAATAAAAGTCTTAAGTCTCGAATTCGACAGTTAGTTGGATTTCTACGCTTCATAAGTGCACACAATCGACAATTGATCGCAAGTAGACTTTTGATACAATAAACTAAAGTTCTCATTTAAATACAATGTCCGATTGTAAGCGCAGTTATCGTTATCGCGCCTTCGATTATTTTGTACGCGCCATTGCCTTCGCCAGCCTGTTCATCGTTATGAGTGCCATCTATAGGCAGGACGATGATCCTGGCTCCAACTATATACATCCCAGACACGGCATGCAGTAAAGCCAATAACCTAACTAGACTTAAGTGATTTCTTTAAGTATTATCTACCTAATTAACAATACACTTTACTTTAGTAAACTGTTCAATATTTAATAAAAAAACAAAGCTAAATATGTTAATAATGTGAGTTTTTTTTTAACGAAAATTGTGGTTAAGCCAACTGGAAATAGTATAAATAAAACCAGTTGTTTTTCATGGGTTATTTTGCATATATTGTTTGATTCATGCATATAATTACGATTATTTGTTTACTAACAACTCGCATTTCCCCAACGGGCGCCAGTTAACTTGGGTATTGCCATAAGTCGAAACTGGTATTATCCCAATAACGCAGCCGTGTTCGATATCGCCCATATATGTGTTTAGTGTTAAAACGAGTTTTTCCATTAGCGAACACGTGCTTGAATGCAATGTAAGCTGTTTCATTGGTACGCCAAACCCCTAAGTCCCCTCACTTCCAATACGTCTGATTAATCACCTATGTATAAATCGCTGTCGTTTCATTCATCTCGATCAAATATGAGCCCGGTCCGTCTTTGAAGTTGATCGCGGAGATACCTCCTAAATATTTGTACTCGCAAGAGCCTATAACTTTGAAGTACGATTTGGTATTGTCCCGGTTTTTGCTATTTCCGAGAGTTTTTCATACCATTCAGCCTTCCTGACTGAGTGCCTACTTTGGAGCAGAAGTTCCATAGCTTCGAAATAATCAAATGGAGTTTCTGATATTGAAGCAGGAGCCTGAGATATGCCAGATTTATATCAAACAATATAATAAGATTGCATTATGTCATCAAGAATTTTAAACTCATAACTTCGTTACTTCGTATGGTATACATTGTATTTAAGTTCCTTCAACTGACTCTCTAAGCTGCCGTTCAAGCTGTTCAAGGTAACAGCCCCGAGACGATAGCCTTTGCTTGTACCAATTTGATTATTTGTTTTTGGTTTATTGTATATTTTCAAGTAAATCGAAAATATGTCAACATTCTTATACGCTTAGACTCAGTGTGATTAAAACGTTTGTGTGTATGAAAGCTGTCTTAAATAATAATGAAATTATCAATCTGTCTTATATTGTGTGTGTCCAGCGTTAACTCAACATAAGAGACAAGAACAATGAACAAATATATGTAAATAATACATAAAAAAAAAACTTTTTATTGCTGGTTGCTGACTAGATTAAATGCATACTTGTGCCACTGCTCAATAGGTGGCTTAGCAATTTGGATATTTTTTATTTAAAGCGTACCAGAGTGAATATCTTCTGCCATTGGTCGTTAGATGGCGTTATCAAACGTTGATATACAAATTTGTGTTACACAAATTTGTGTTACACGTTCATAACTTGATCATTTGAGATCCATAAGGAATTCCGTTGGTCCACAGACGATCCATTGCTCGAAGAGTCGAATACAACAGAATAAAGAACGAAAGTCATTAAAATAGCTAAAGTAAATGGATTTTTCAAGAAACAGAAAATTGCCTGTACTTCGGTCATATCCTTTGCCATCCTGGCTAATAATATGTAAAACAATTTGAATTAACCAGAGCTGCCGACCAACCAAAAGGGCACCACAATCGTCCTTGTTGTTTACGAGATAGATACGATTTTCATACTCCGCATCATTTGAAAGCGACAAGTGTTTGGGACCTTAAAAGTATGCCTTAATATTTATTTTGCTTGAGCGCAATTTAATTAATACAGCAACCCAATTTGTGTCCATGCTCGGGTCCAAATATATGGATATGAATCGATATGAATGGCCATAAAGCACAATGGAAAGGCAGCTCGTGTATGCTTGCCATGGAAATAGTTCTGAGAGTTCGGTGATGAAATCCAAATGGAAAGCAGTTCTTCCACAGTTTGGTTTTCCGCTGATTAGGACTCTGTTTAAAAAACCATATATCGTTCAAAGATTTTAAATATAATCAGCTATCGATTACGGGGGCTTAGAGAGGAAATGCTAAATTTGTTTTATTTCTACGAAGAAATGAAGTAGGACTTTAAATATTTAGCTTTAAAGTAGTAACAATTTATATGATTTTATACTTTTGGTTTTTATTGGGATTTTGATTAAATGACTTTGCAGTTAAGCGACTACAGACTAAACAATATAAAACAGTCGATTACAAATGTAAGTTTATATATATATCTATATATATATATATATATATATATATATATGTGTATATATAGTATTCTATTAAAGACTAATTAGTTAGATCGTAAAACGTTACACATGTGTATATATGTTTAGGCATGTGTGTATAAGTATATATATAGTGTATATAATGTATATTTACAAAAACTACAAAAGGATCAATTTTATGGCAATGGACAAACTGATTGCTGCTGCTACTTATTAAAATTCTCAATCTGTTGGAGAACCCAGCTGCGCGATGCCGTCTGGCTAAGATGCGGTGGACAGAGGACGACACTGGGATGCTGGCTAAGAAGCTCCTGCAGCGCTGCCTTAGTCGGTTTGGGTGCTACTTGCGGTGGTGCCGCGTAACGTTCCCGTTCCAATCCTGATCCCTGTTCCACTAACGACGACGACGACGACGACGGTGGCGGTGGTGGCGGACTGCGTGGCCGCTTTAGATCATAGTCAAGAATGCTACGTTTCTCATTGTTGTCATCACTGTAAATGGCCGAATCACGAAAATCATTCTCCAGACTGTCCTCCACGTGCTGTTCGTACTCAAAGTGGGAACCCGGCAGCTTGCTGCGTTGCTGCTCGCACATGCTGTCGCTCGACGTGCACGAGGATGAGGTGAGCGAGAAGACAGAGTCTCGTTGCAGTGACGCCTCTGAGCTGGCAATGATGCTGAATAGCGTCTTGGGATCCGCATAGTCTACATGCGCCATCCGCTCACCCACCGCCTCGCTGCCCTGCCGATGCAATATGCTCTGCCGGCACATTTCGCTCACATCCGAGACGCGACGTTCCGGTGGCCGATTGCTGCGTGCGAATGCCATGCTCAGATTATCAATGGATTTTAGGGCACGCGGCAGCAGTGAGATCTCCGAGTGGCTAACGTTCTCCAGTGTGGCTTTGTTGCTATTGTGCCCGCCACTGGTGCTGAGCAGACGCTTCATTAGGTTCTTTGGTATGGGGCGTGAATACAGCGAATCAATCGGATCCGATTCAGCATTCGAATCCAGGCACAGATTGATGACCGTTGTCTGGCTGTCACGCTTCACCGTGGAGCCGGAACTAGACTCGGAGCCGGTGCTGTCACGCTGCTGTTGCTGCTGCTGGTGTTGCTGCTGCACTGCATCCTCACCGACGCGCTGTAGCACACCCTCCGGCGAATATACTAAGGTCACATAATCCGATTCCGGGCGTGGCGCAGCCGGACGCTTCTCGCGCTGCTTGAAATACTGCACGGATTTGGCCCGTCCGAGCACGGGCGAGAATTTATATGGGACATGCACGTTGCGTAGCAGCGTCTCATAGATGGGCTCGTCGGGCTGCTCATCCGGCGATGAGGTCAAGGCCTGCTCCTGCTCGGCCTCTAGTGGCGGCGGTGAGCGCGATGGTGGCCGCGGCGGCAGTGGAGGCGGTGCCGCCTCCTGTGTGGGACTCAGCGACGATGTGGCCTGGCTGGTGTCGCGTCGCTGCTTCTGCTGCTTGTTCTTGTTGTAGATGCGCTCAAACTCCTTGTTGTTCTTCAGCAGATCCAGGACAATCTCAGCATCACGCTTGGACTTTTCCGCCGGCGACAGAGTCGTTGTCTCATAATACTGTTGCGCTTGCGTCGGTTCTGGCGACTCTTGGGCCTCCTCGGCCAGCTCCAGATCCTCGGTGGATTCGGTGATCTTCAGCACAGTGCTGTCAAACTCACTTAGATCCATGTAGAACTTGGAACAGCTCTCTTTGCGGCCGCCGCCACTGTTGCTGCTGCTGCCACGTTGCTTCTTCAGAGTGGCGATCCGCTTGGGCATCGTCTTGTGATTGTATTGCTTCACCTCAAAGAATCCCTTGCCCTTGACCTTGCGCTCACTGAGATCTGGCTTGCTGCCGCGCAGCGAGGCGGGACTGTCGTCATCTAGCGCCTCCGCGTGCTCGTCAAAACTGAAGCCACCGATGCGCGGCACCGATTTACTGCGCTCCTTGAGCGCCTTGTAGCTGAAGACGGGACTCTGGGACTTGGTACGACTGCGCTGCTCACGCATAATGCACAAACACTGCTGCTGCTGCTGCTGCTGCTGATCCGGCTGTTGATCCTGATCCGGCTGCTGATCAATTCGCTGTTCGGCACACTTGCATTGATCCTTGCTGGGACTCAGTTTCGATTCACGCTTGCCACCGCTACGATAACGCACAGCAGCTGCCAATTTCTGAAGGGCCGTGTCATCTAAGCTGTTGTTGCGCGCCAACTGCTTGGCGGGCTTAATGGGCTGCTCCTGGCAGGGCGACTGCTCCAGGGATTCATTGAAGCTGTCAAAGGAGCTCGAATTGGTGAGCGTCTTGCGTTTGAACTTGGAATTGCGCTGACGTATCTCGCTGCGACGGCAGGCGTTGCGACGCTCCAAATACGTCGGCGTCGAGTTGCTGCTCGAGTTGAGGCTCCACTTCCAAGTGCTGCGATCGGGCGTGCGATCTGTCCATGACGATACAAATGGAGTTGAGACAAGAATAAGACAAAACTCAGGATTATTCTCTTTGCAGTGACATTGGTGTGGAGCAAGCGTAAGGCAAGAAAATGCTTGGGCAGATGAACGGGAAGGCGGACGTTACTGTCGACAAACACCAGCAACATTATCTAAGCACTAGCAACCAGAGCAACTGCATCAACAGATGCCACAAACGATCGTATTATATATATGCAGGCTGATATAATGGAATAGTTTATTTGGGGTTAGTTTAGGAGCTGTGTTAATTTATTCTCAGCGACACCGGCTTCAAAATGCCTTTAAATATTAGTTACATATTAAACTAGATTAATCAAGCTCTGAGCTCTTGTTAAATCTTAAGGTTTTTGCGCAAAGTATGTGTGAGTTTGGCTTTAATTTATTGAAAGATCAATTCATAAATAGCGAGTGGCCAAGTTACGCATGGTACAAGAAGTCACACAGCATTTTCATTTATTTTGAAGACTAAAAAGATTAAAGATAAAACTCAATTACAAAAAGTTCGTACAGGCTTAGAATATTGCTTGAGTGATTTTTGCTATCTCATTGAATAGGATTAAGTTGAGCTAATTTTAAAGTTTTTTTTTATTTTTATATTAGATTGTTCATCTATCGTTTTTGAGATGTGTGCCATTTAAGATGAAGTGTCACTGAGATATGTTTTTGGGTTAGTGGGCGAACATGCTGTCATAAGATAAGATGTAGATTAGAATGCAGGCATGCTGGACACAATACCAGTGGAGCGGCAAGCAGCCAATTAAAGAAACACAAGCCAAAAACAAACGTGAAACGGTTGCAAATTTATAACTCAAAATACTTACTAGGCAGCGACCGGAAATATCAGTTTAATAGACTACGTCAGCGCCGCAAAATACCAGAAATTTACTTAAGCGTAAGATTACGATTACGATTACGATTACATTACAACGGTATCGATATCGATAACGAGAGCGATAGCGATAGCGATACTGATTAGCAGTTAACAGTTAAATTGTACTTTTTAAAATATTTGCAAATTATGGTTACAAATTTTGAATGGTTTTTTGTTTTTTTTTTTTCAGTAGCGTTTTTATTTTTTGTTTATGTTTTTGTTTTTGGGGGGGTTTGGTTTTTAGGGTGGGGAGCTGCAAAGTAGTAGCGCTTAGTTCAGTCTCTGGTGTTTAGCCTTAGGAACGCCTTAAAAACTAATTAAAGTTTTCGTTTCTTGTTTGGTTTGGGTGGTTTAGTTTTAGAATGCATCACTGGTAGTACTACAAAGGTAAACATATAGCAAAAATGTAAATTTATAAATACAAATACTAAAGTTAGATCAAGAACAAAAGTAGTTACACCGAAATACCGAAATTATAATTCAAAGAAAAACACATATATTTTTATTAGTTACTCATTAGTGCCACATACCAATTATATAACCCAATGCTGACGAGCAAAACACATATCAATTTTAGGCCCACTCAAGTTGCGCACAAAACATGTGCAATTAAATTGTGTTAACATTCGAGAAAGACGCAAATAAATCAACTTAAGCGTCACACTTGGCACGATTTGTTGGCCAGAAAGCTTTCGGCTTAAACGAACTATAAAAGAAATATATATAGCTGAAAGTACCACAAAACGTGATTATGTCACTTGAGGTGAGACTTGGCCAAAAACCGTTGGGGGTAACTGTAATGTGCAAATGCACTGCTACAAAATTCAAACTCATAGAAAAGCTGAGCTAATTTACATTGCTGATGAATGTTGCTTAAAGACTATCATTTGAGAGTCAGTTTGCTTTCTTCCTTTTGACCCTTTTGAGTGCCACAAATAACTCTTTGTTTAGCGTAAAGCTAAACTTGCAAAGCAAGTGATGAGCGCTGTATAAAATACTATAAAATTATTTTAAGTATGCTGAGCTATAAAAGCGAAATTCAAGCAACATTAATCTTATTTACTTTGGCTTTCGCGATTGTTAATTAATGCTATCATATATTGTTTGCAGTGTATTTGCACGTGTGCAGACTGCGCCCGCATAACTATAACTACTCCATCATCATTCCTTTCCAAAAATTGTGTATATGCTTTGGACGCCGTCAACAAAATAGGCACAGAAACAAATAAAACAAAACAAACAAACAATGACAACAACAAATAATAACAGTAAGCATCCACACACACACACACACACACACATACACACACACATTCGCACACACATTCGCACACACACAGAGAAAATCAATCTGTGGCAAGAGTTGTCGTGCGATTGGAGAATCCAATGGACGCTCACCTTCCTCGTTGCCCAGCTGGTAACGAGTTCCCTGGCGCGCGTGGGTATATCGAACTCCTCGAGCATAACACCTTTAATGTGCTGCGTCCAGATACGCTTCTGGTCACGATTTCTGGCCGTCAACTTGATTTGATTGCGCGGCTCATCGAATGGGATGACATAGAAGCTGGTCGGCTCACCCGGCAAATGTTCGCTCAGCATCAAATTCTTTTGCTGTTGCAGCAGAGAGAGTGCGAGAGAGAGAGAGAGAGTTTGTTAAAGAGATGCAAGATGTGGTTGTGAAAATGACTGGCTTACGGTTATGAGGCTCTTGTACTGCAGTCGACCATCCTCCTTTTGCTTGGTAATGATCAGCATCGTATCGAAGAGCAACACCTGACGCGGCTTGTTATGCTGTTCCATGAGCAAGCCCTCGTGTCGCAGTTCGCGCAGCACGCTCAGATCTGCAGAGTCATTTGAAACGATTAACAGAGAGTGAGAGAGATAGAGATGGAGTGGCAAACTCACCTGGTCCCATCCATCCGTCTAGAATGCCGGACAGCTCCTTGACACGACTCTGCTGCTCCTGCTGACGCTTCACCTGGTCAATGTTGTGCGCTACTTGACGCATTATGGCATACGCCTCGGCCACCTCCTTGACATCACAATGCTTGCGCAGGCTCTGCGAGAAGGAGGGGGAGCAGGAATGATTTTGGTTTTGGCAAGTGAAGGGTTTATCAAGGTGGGTTGCAGTGATGGTAGTCGACAATACTTACGTCCAGCAGCAGATGGTACTTGAGTATGCGTTGCACCGGTTTCAGCAAATAGGAGCCAAGGGGCAGGCGATGCTGCAGCAGCTTCTGCGTGGAGGCAAGCAGCGAGTTCGTGTGCTTCGCCTGCAGCAGTTTGGTCAGCAGCGAGATGGCTTCCGGGTAGCTTGTGCTGCACAAAAACAAAATACAGCAAAATAAACATAAGCACACACACGTGCACACACACGACACACTCTATAATAAAGCAGCTGATTTATGGGCACAAAAATAACAAAACAAACAAAAATATTGAGCTCTTCATCAGGCAGAAACATGAAATTTGAATTTAAAATCAGCTGTAGGAGTTGCTCCCAAAGTTGCTCAAAGTTGGCCACATGATATATGCTCGGCTGTCAGCGGAGGCGACAAATCAAACGGCGGCCATCAGCGGCGCTCAGTTTGCCTTCAAATTGACAGCGACAGGCACAGCGATGGCCAGGCCAACCAGAGCCACAGCAAATGTCAGGCGCTTAAATGGAACAGCGAACAGTTTGGGAGTATGGCGTGCCTGGACTGCCAAAGCTGAATCAGAGCTGATAAGTCAAAGCCAAAGCTGGTGTTCGTGTCCCGCTGCTGGCTAACAACCAGCTGCTCCAGCTGCAATCGAGATCATTTTTTTGGTCAGTCCGTTAACCGTTCTTGGCCAAGAATATCGCAGATTTGGCAGACACGCCAAGCTCAAACACTGTGGCTTGGGAAAGTCCATGGGGAGACAACTTTAAGACTTTTCTATACAGTACAAATCGGATAGAGAAATAGAGAGAGGAACAGAGAAAGACACAGGGAGAAAGAGAGAGAGATAGAGTGCAACAATTAGAGAAAAAATGAAGAGCTGTGACTTAACTCAGCCGTTCATTAAATAGTAAAATGTACTCTGAAAGTTGAGGTCCTCACTCAAGAAAGTCGAAGGCTCAAATAGAAATTCAGAAAGGTTTGGAGAATAGCCGGGATGTTAAAATGGGACTCCAGATAAACTAAAATTCTGATGCCTAACTTGAAGTGATGAAAATCGCATAGGAAGGCAATATTTGAAGACACGTGTCGATTATAATTAGACAACATTAAAAAGAGAGCCAACAGTGAGAAGGAGAGGAATATTCAGTCTGAGAGAGAGTATTAAATATTGAGGATGAGAAAAGGACAGAAAATTAAAGCGAGAGTAAACGAGAGAGAGAAAGAGAGAGAGAGTGTAGGAGAAAGAGAGAGCAAGAAGCAGACAGATATTGACAGCGAAAAGGGTATTTGGGCTGCCTGAAAGATGAGCAATCACATCCGATATGCGAAGACATTTCTTGACAATCGAAATGAAGACTGATTGCAACCGAAACTAAAATATGGAAAAACATATGTAAATTGTTCAGTTCTCTTACCAGTAGGTTGTGTACACATTAAAACGTTCGCGTAAGTTTATAAAACATTTTGCTATTCTGCCCGGTTCCATGTTCGAGTTGATGAGCTGCTGCAGCAGCATCGAGTTGAATTCGTAAATCTCTTCAATGTTGGCAAAGAGTATTTGCAATTCGTCCAGTCGCAGGCAGGCGCGTTCCTTCCAGTCCAGCAGATAGCTAGATGAAAGTGTTCAAATTGTTAGACAATTTAATTGATTTTAGAACACTCTGCTTACCCCTTGATAACCTGGCCGAGATCCTCGACATAGCTGCGCTCGGAGTCTACAATTTCCAGGCAGGCGCGTTCCAGAACGCTCATTGGATTTGTATGGGATTGGTGGTGATGATGATGATGATCGCCCAGCTCGTTCTCGCTCTCGGCCAAGCTCTCCACGCTGGCCAAATACGATGTGGCTGTCAGCTTGCCGTTGAGCAGCTGATCGGAGCCAGAACTTGAGCTCGAGGATGTTGAGCAAATGGATGAGGAGGAGAGCGGACGATTATTGAGACGCGTCAATTCGCTGAGACGCGCCGGATACTTGGGTTTGATGTCGGTCAACGTGTCCAGACTCTCCGCGGACAGTTTGTTGGCCTCCTCCAGCTCGGCAAGCATCTCGGCGGTGGGCAGTCTTAGAGGCATGCCACCACCCAGCGTGTTCGCCTTGCCAGTCTGACTCTTGAGCTTGGTACGCACATAGGTTTGGCAGGCACGCGGTGCGGACACGCTGCGCACCAAAGGCTTGCCGATCAGCGGCTTATTGATGGCTTCGACCAGCTCCTGGGCCGAATTTGTCTCGCCCAAATCCCGATCGCTTAGCGCCAGCTGACCAATGTGCTGCGCAACCACATCGAAATTAATGGTGTCCACATACGGCTCCGGGCTGACCGGCTCCATGGCCACAACGAATGCCTTGTGACGTGGCGGCGTTGTTGGTGGCGGTGTCGCATTCAGTTGCATGCTGGTCGTCGCCAGCTTCTCCATTTCAATTAGCTTAATGCTCTGCTGCGTTTCGTAGCGATGCAGCTTGAGCTGTGCAAATGGCAGACCCTCGAAATGAAATGGTGTGCCTGGTGCCGTCTTATTTGTGGGCGTCTTATCCTCATCCACTGGCGTTGATTTTCTGCTCAGTGATCCGCTATAATCGCAGCTTGCATCTAATGTGGACACCAGATCGCTGCCCGATTGCGTTGATAGTTTGCCAGTGATCTTGGACAGCGGCAGATGCGACAGCTTTAATTTGGGTGGTGTGCTTGCTTTTATATAACGTGTGGGCGTCGGACTGCGCTCTGCGGGCAGCAACAGTTGCTGCTGCTGCTGTTGCGATTGCGAATGCTGCAGTGCCTCAATGTCGACTGCATTTACGGGCACCGCATCCGCGTGTGCAATAATCCGCTGCACATTGGGCGATAGCACGCGAATGTTGTTGCCACGTCGGCAGTTTGGACTGGGATTGGAATTGGTATTGGAATTGGTGGCACCACTGCCACTGGCACTTGAGGCGATGCTGTGACTGCTGCCCAGCTCCTGACGCCTGAACCGACTCAGCCGCACGCCATCAGCTTCATCATGCAGACCGGCAACCACCAGCGGCGTTTGAAGTGGTGCTGCTCCTGCTGCTTGCAGTGTATAACTGCCCGAATGGTTGTCGCTGCTGTGGTTGCTGTTGTTACTGTTGTTGCTTGTGTTGCTTGTGTTGCTTGAGTTGCTGCTGCTGCTGCAGTTGCTGTTGCTGCGTTTGGGCGTTGATTCACCGCTGCCCTGATTGCTGCCGCCTATGGCCTGTGTGCCATGCACGTCAGCCTTGGTTGTGGTTGTCGCTGTCGCTGTTGCACCACTTACGGCCAAGCTGTTTGTCAGTGTGTCATAGAAACCCAGCAGCGATGGTGCGAGCTCTGTGGTACTGCCTGTTAAATAAATATAATAAGATGATTTGATTACATTATATGGCATAATAAAACAAGTATATTAAATAAATATATATTTTGTATTCAGTTAATCAAGGAACAAAAAATTTGGCTTAACGTTATTCAACTCTTTAGAAAAAAATAAAAGAAACATGAAATAACCGAGTCTATTTTGAAAACTGCTTACTTAATGCGAATAATTTCAGTGTAAAATGAAATGTATGAAAAAGCGCTAAGCAAATTATAAAGTGTTCTTCAATTCACTTTGAATAGACTAGATATTCAGTAGACTATAATATCAGTCAGTTAGCCAGACTGAAAGAATCTTACGACACTTCCATTCCATATTCATGAGTCGTCGATCTTGATCTGCATTCCTCGCCGCTGATTTATGCAATTTGGCGTCTTTTGTTTTCATAGCTTACAAGGGGCATCATTAAAGCTATTGACTATTGACTGGCATAAACTATAATTTATTTTTCAACTGTCAGATATCACATACATATATACATGCACACACATATAGACATATTTATATACCTGTGTGTATATGGCGAATGGTGTTATTAAATTCGCAATTGTGGAAGGGTTTCCATTGATTAATTGAACCATTTATGAGAAATGGTGAGCAAAAGCTGAAGAATGCCCAACATCAAACCGATGCCAATTGGCCGTTGACTGTTTGTCAGTTGTTGTGGTGCTGTGGTGCAGTGGTGCTGTGTGCTGCTATCGGTACTGATGTTGGTGGTGCTGAATAAACCGTCGTTGGCAGTTTAGCTGCCATGTTGCGTTTGCCATATCAATTCCCATGTCAGGCCAGCCAGCAGGCAGCTAGACAGACGAACAGATGGACATATGGACAGACGGACAGACTGAAAGGCAACCTACTTATTTATACAGCAAATTCAGCCGCCAGGCTGCGCCGTGGAGGCCAAGACACAGTCTGAAGTCGATGCCGAAGTTGAAGGCTTGCCTTTTGTGCCTTGACTGATGGCCACGTTTTATTCTTGTTGTTATTTGCGTCCTGGAGCTAAACAACTCAATACATAAGCGCTTGCCACGGCCGCAGCTCATTTCATTTATCGCATGCAAATTATATCAAATATCACAAAAATTATGTGTGTAGCTGATGTGGCCCATCAGCGCGTCACGATTATCAGACTATTAAATTCGCGAGACCAAATAGTCAGACATATAAATATGAAATCAGGCTTATGTTCTTGCTACTCTACGGCAGTCATTATATATTATATGATCAGGTTTTAATCGTCCTTTCCCATTAATAGATTATTCGTGTTATTTGTTGATGATTTCAAAGCAGGAATTTAATTATTTTTATTATAGCGCCTACTGCTGTAATATAGACACCTTAATCTTTCTTGCGCAAATTCTGATTTTCTTTTCCATAATTTAATACGTAAAAAAACCTCATTTAGTTTTGTGATTACAAAATAACCTAAATATAATTTCCTTCCAATTCAATAGTCGGTTCCTTGTGAGCACATTCTACTCTCTCACCTGACCACTCGTCCAGGATGCGTGTCTAATCCAAATGCACAATCTTTTAGCACATTTGCCTAACAGCTCTGCAGATCTGCACAGAGTTTTAAGCTGGGGAAGAAAGAAAGAAAAAAAACTGTGCCGTTTCGTCCGGAGGCCATTGCAAATCAGGCAATTAACTTTAAAACAGAGAACGCTTGGGTAACAAGTGAGAGGCAACGGCTACTGTGGCCGGCAATTGGCGGCTATAACTGGTTTTCAGCTATTTAGAATCCAACATATTAGCATAGACAGCAGGCCCCAGCATCATCTTCATCATCTTCATCATCTTCATTGGCATCCTCAGACTTAAAACCCAGCACAGTAGCCGACGGGCCACTTTTTCTTCTAATTGCAAACGGTGTCAATGTGAAGCTGGCTAAAATGTTGTTGCTCACATTTACATTTTGTTGGCAACATTTTTCTCATATTTATTCTACTATTTTCTATTTTCTATTATCTATTTTTTATTTTTTATTTTGTCCCCTGGGAGTTTTGTTGCAACTCAGCGAACAACAATTAGTTTGGTTGACTGCCACGCCCACTGTCAGCTGATTGACAAAATGACAAACGAATAGACTGGCTAACTTAACCGAAAAACTGATAGAAAACCGAGCTGCTTGACTGGCTGGCTGGCTGGCTGCTTGACTGGCTGGCTGGTTGGTTGGCAGACTGACGACAAGTCGTATACATGATTTGTACATTTAATTTTCCATCATTTGGCTTGATTGTTGCGTGGGTAGCGGAACCAATGATGACGCCACTTCTAATCTTCCTGTTGCTGCATGCTGCATGCAGCCACATGCTGTTGCATCTCTGACCCAGTTTGGTGGCAAGAGTGTTTCGCAGTTTTGCTTAATTGCCAGCCGTGGGACGTGGAAAACTGCAGTGACAGGTAACCAGAAACAGATAACTGGTTATACTTATGTCTAGCAAATGGCCACAAGACAACACAAGTTTTATCATTGTCACTCGTTTAATTAACAAGAATTGCCAAGCTGGAGCTAAGATCAACTTAAATCTACTCTGCAAATGGTAAAAAAAAAAGACTGTTCAATGTGGGAAAGTTACTACTCTACTCACAACCACTCGTTAGGCAAATTCCTTTTCTATATTGATAATCAGTTAAACATTGATTTTCTGTTAATAGCAAAAAATGTTATGGCGCTCAACGTGCTCAACGACTTACGTATATATATAGATATAGATATATACATGTAGAACGTATTTTAATAAGATCTCGTTCAAAACTGCGATCATACAGTAGTTAAGCCAGCAGCATCCAACAGCTGCGACTTGCAGTGATTTGCTTAATCAATTTATGGCATAATTTGAGGCGACAGTTTTATGGGCGATTCGAGGGACTAAGCTTGCGGCTTAGTCGCTCTGGCAATCAGCCAGCAGATCTGACAGCACAAAAAATATGCTAGTAAAAAGCAAGCAAGAGCCCTCTAACTGAGGCACGTCGAAGATTATATACCCTTGCGGACCGCAGTTAAATTACCATCCTTTAAATGTTATTATAAATTTAAATAACTGACAGTTTGTTCCAATGAAAGCTATATAGTACACTGAGTTTAATAAGACCCACAACTGGCGAGTCTACTTAGGATAACTTGGTGAACAAAAAAGATGTTCATAAAAGAACACAGCTTTCGACTGATTGTACTTATGAGTGCTGCATGATATAGATCCAATCCAATCCAATCCAATATGCTATATCTAATCACGTATATACCTTTTGAGGTCGCAGGCGTTTTCTTCAATGCGTTACAAACTACATGGCAAAATGATGATACTCTCACCAAGGGCATACAAGAGACGCCAGCATGCAACACATTTACATGTCGCTTTGTCGCATTGTCACTGGAAAACAATTGAAACGCATTTCGCAACTATTGCAATCGGAGTAGTCAGAGAGCCAAGGGGCCCAAGTCCGAGCAGAGCTGAGACATTGAGACCTGGCTGCCAGATTTTGGTTACATTTGCTAGACTGGACGCAACAGATTACGCGATTTGGTTAAAAATAGCCGACGCTTCAACTTAAAGCCAAGCGTTGCTCCAGCAACGTTACAGCAGTTGGCCAAAAGGTCAGCAGAAGGTGTTGACAGGCTGTGCCGCTGATTTATGAGACTTGTCGCATAAGTTGCAATTGTGACATTGAATTATGCGAATTGACTAAAATAAACAACAACAACAACAACAGCAACAAAAGCGGAAACGGGGAAAGTGCGCACTCATCCCCTGCTCGGTGTTGTTGTTGTTGATTGCAATCGCTGCGACGACAACTAAATCGATTGCTGCTGTTGTTCAACAGGCTCCCCTCCCCCCTTCAACTCCGCTGACCAGCTACCTCGTCACTTGCCACCTTTGGCAAGCAGCAAATTGCCACGCACCTTTTGCCCAAGCGTCGTACGTCTTGGCCAGCTGCTGATAGCATTATATTAATGCGCTTAGGCGATTTGTTTGGTTGCGTCGTCTCGTCTCCAATACAGACATACAGACAGACAGACATACACACACACACACACACACGCACACAGACACACATAGCAATTGATATTTTAATCGGCATTTTATTTTGTGGCTCGTTGGCGCCATTTGGCCAGCGATTAGGGAAATGACCAGTGGCGAGTTAAGCAACTCAGCGCCTCAGCACTACTCAGCACCGCAGCACTGCACCACAACCGACACCACCGACACCACCACCATCGCCATCGCCACTTTATTATCCAGTGTGTGTTGTGTCATTAAAAAGCCATTGCCATGCGACACTGGGTATCAGTGTAAACGTGTGTTTAACAAAATCAACGCTCTTAACTTGGCCGTCTTGTCATGCATTTTGCAATTGCCATTAAGAATGTAATTTCAATGTGTGGCAAAATGCGCTCTAAAAACACATTTCCACTGATTAAGCCACCCCCCTTCCCCCCAGTAGCAACAACCACTTGAATCGCTGTTTATTGTTGTTAATAAATTGTATGCTGATTTTGCTGCCAAATCACTTTTGAGTCTTATCCGTTTTGCGAGTTATCTCGTTGCCTGTGATAACAAGTCAAATGATTAATCAGATATATAGATGCAAATCTTAACAAGCAAAACTACCGTTACGCAATCGGAAAACTACATTTAATATTCATGCACCATTGCACAAAAAAAAAAACAACAAAAAAACATAAAAACAACAAAAAGAAACGTTTACTTCACAGACAGAACATATGTTAAATGATGTACAATCATTTTAGTATTGCTCAATTTTGTACAACAGCACGGAAGTTAATCACAATTCGAATAACGATATACCCTCACTGGAAAGTTAATGATGATGCATTCATTATATTCATAATGTATACCCAGAAAAATATACAATTTGTTGGTGATTCAAATGCATCCAAAGAGATAAAGCAGGAATTCCAGCTGAATAAGAGAACTTGACTTATTTCAACAGCTGATCCTGATTA